ACTATGATTCCTAAATATTCTGCATTTCATTCTCAACCCGGTGCCTGTCGGCTATTCCATCCCGGATCTTCCACTGGGCTCTTATCTCTCTTTCCCCCTCCTTCGCCTGCGGCTATGTGTTCTTAAACTATTCAGTCTGCAGTGCCAAGAACTAAACGCCGTTCCTCGGTGGTTAGGAATGTCTGCAACATCATTTGGACATCTGCCCAAGTGGGTCGATGGGTCTGGCCCACGGATGCAAAAAGATTCTTCATTTTTAAAGGATCCTCTCTGAAAGAGGGATTCTGATTTTTCCAGTTAAACAAATCAGAAGTGCTAAAGGGGACATATACAAACGTCGTGTCCCCTCCTTCAAGCACTACCTCCCGCATGGGGAATGAATACTGAGGTTTATCTCTAGGAGGATGGCGTAAATTATAACAATCAGAACCCCGTTCAGGGGGGGCTGAGGCTGCTTTGGACTTTGCACTTTCGCCCTTTGGGTTATAAGGGGGAGGATATTTACTATCAGGAGACGATGGGGGAGTTTGCTCTTGAATTTTTGCTGCATCCTCTTCCTCTCCCTCCTCAGGTCGCCTTGCCACCGGGGCTTCCCCACGTCTACCAAGAGTCAGATCTACCTCACTATCTAAATCATTCAGAACCCTAGGGCGGGTACCTTTACCTCCCGAGGCCTTAGCCTTGGCTACTAAAACCTTACAAACCCCCATTCTACATTTCAACAGCCACGCAGGTTTATTCTGTGTGGCATTTAACCAACAATCAATATAAGGAAACTGATCCCAATGCCCACCACGAGTCACAATACCATGCACCACAACAACTAGATTTACATCAAACGATCCTGTGTCTGGCCACCCTACCTCAAAGGCTGGCCAGTCTAGTTGGCAAAACTTGATCAAGTTATCTTTTGTCATTTTAACCCCAAAATCTACATCCTTTGTAAACTTTTTGAAATTACGTAGCATGCATCCCAATGGGGTTGCGGAGTTTTCTACCCGGGAGCTACCCGAACCCATCGTGTCAAATACTCAGCTTCAATGTTCAGACCTATTTGCTGAACGCAAGAGTCCCCGAAGGACTAACAACCACTACTGAGTGCAATGTTCAGACCTATGTGCTGAACGCAAGAGTCCCCGAAGGACTAACAACCACAAAAGACACAGGGAATTCGTATACTTACTCCGTCAACACCCTGGCGCCATTTCTTCGGATCTCTTAGCCTGGTTGACTCATTTTGGTGGAGACTCCTTTAACTTCCCGGGTGTCCCGACTCACGCTTTCAGCATCGTGACGGACTCAAACACGGTCCGGTGCGCACTTCACGGCTGCCTATGACGGTCTTGTCGTCAGACCCCGGGGTAGTCCAAGGGAAGTCCCATCTGGGTCGCCAGAATTGTTGCATAAATTGCTGATTTTATCCCCTGGAGGCTAGTCCAATTCACCTCTAGAAGAGAGTCACACTTTCAGGCTGGATCCAACTCTATTTTATTGCTTGCAAGCAGGCCGACAGAGGAGCTTGTTGCTCAGATCAGTGTCGACCCTAAACAAAGAGCGCACGTGGCTTTTATTGAGCTAGCATTTTTTTCAGTTGATGTGTTACATTTTGATTGGTCATTTCAAACCAAAACCTGAGCAACCTATAAGACATACATAGTGGGCCATCCTGTACCATGTGGGTGGAAAGTTACAGAATGCAGGGGTTAATACTAAAACAAGGAACAAAGAAACATAGAGAAAAGTATCTATTTTTACTACATAATTGTAGCCTAATTGCTTATATCAATGCATCCTCCAGGTTAGCAACAAGTCCCTGACTGGGGTCAAGGCTTGTTGCAAAACCTGAAAAATGAAACTTGTTGCAAAAACCCTGCAGAAGGGTGTTTGTGCCCAAAAGCTTGCAAAGAACCATTTTTCCAATGATTTAGTTGGTCTAATAAAAGATACCACCTCTACCCAAATAATCTTGTCTGCCTTCATTTGCAACAGGCAGGCGAGGTTCTTTGGATAGATTTGATCTCTATTATTAGATCTGCTGAATATTGGATAAATTTGTTCTTTGCAAGCTTTCAGGCATAAACTAGATTCCCCTCCATCTGGAACCAGCAATGAACTTCTGTTTGGTCTGGGGTAACATTGTAACTCAGAACGCTTTGTAGAAATCATTCTGAGTTTCAGCTAGGAGCTGCACTTCTGCCTGCACCCTAAGTTAACAGGGTGTGGGGCTTACTGTGGAGCCCCTGCAAAGGGAGAAATTGTTTACCGCACAGTAAGGGTGGAAACAGAGGTCGTCTTTGTGCTGCCATAAACATAAAAATGTTTATGGCAGCACAGAGGCCAAGCAATCTGTTCCCCTTGGTGCACCACAAACATATCAGTTTGTGCCATTGTTTAGTAGTGGATGTCTGCTTTATAGCACAAGCAGGCCAGCAGCCTGGAGCTGCCTGTGTGGTCTGGCTGCCCCAGGCAGGTGGTCCATTGACCTGAGAGGCCTGATCCTGTGCGTCTGGGCATCTTGTACAGGATTGGGCCCTTCAAGCCCTGGGAATGCCTGCCCAGTTTTCTCCTCTTGCAGAAACAAGCACAGAGCAATCTTGGGCTGCTCTTCCATATGCAAGAAACTCAGAATTTCCCCACTTGTTGAGACTGCCCCCAGATCTCTGGGATGTGTCTCTCTAAGTAAAAGTCATCAGGGTTTCCGCATGTGCAGAGATGTGTGTGGGGAAAGCCAGGCAGGCACTCCCAGGGTCTGAGGGGCATATTCCTGCACAGAAGTTCCTTGGGCATGCAGTAGCAGGCCGTTCAAGCCTCAAGGGAACACATCACCCGTTGTCCCACAGCATCAGTGGGTGAGGTGCATTTCCCCTGAAAAAGGAGATCAGTTGTGCAGAGGCATCCGAGCAGAACTGATCCCCGCTTCATTTGTTGATGTTTCTAGAACAAGTGAAAATTATATCACAGTACTTGAATCCAGCTTCATGGAGAACTAAACTGTCCCAGTTTTAGCTTTTACCTTTACCACTGGTTGTGTGGTAAGAGCAGGCACATGAACAGTCACGTGTCATGTACTCCCCTATGATCCTGTGTCATGTACTTTTTAGTAAGCCTTCATTCCCTTTTAACTTATTGTAAGTTGTTCATTTGTTCTTAGTCATACTTTATCTGCAGTTAATGAACTGATGTGATTGTTTTCAAAACAGTAGATCTAGTCTTCCTGCACCTCATTTTTTTCATAGCTTGGAGGAGGAAATCAAGCCTTCCTGCTCTTTCAACTCCCAGTCAGTTTTTCAACTATGAATGAGCTAGTTATGAACCTGAACTAGCTGAAATGGAAAAAAGTATTCTCTCTGAACCTACAAAAGAGCCAACTACTGTCAAAAGTTATGTTAGCTCTTCAGCAAATTCTGGTTCCAGGCACTTAGCCAGTCATTGTCACTGGTCAACAAGCATGTGCTATTTGCATCTTATTTTTAATTCTGGTTTTAATAAATAAACTCAATTTCACATCTAATTTTAAGTGGGTTTATTCTTAAGTAACTGTATTTAAAACATATTTTAATTTTTGAAGACATCTATTTTTATCCTCATTATACAGAGCTGCCATCGTTGCCTTTGCAGTGAGTTTCATCTGCTAGAAAAGAATGTCGAGCACTCCTGTGGCTGTGGTGACTGGGGGCAACAAAGGGATCGGGCTTGCTATTGTGCGAGCTCTGTGTAAGCAGTTCTCCGGGGATGTGTACCTGACAGCCCGGGAAGCCGGGCGCGGCAAGGCAGGAGTGGCAGAATTGCAGAAGGAGGGTCTGAAGGCACTCTTCCACCAGCTGGACATCAATGATCTGCAGAGTATCAGGGCTCTCCGGGACTTCCTGAAGGAGAAATATGGAGGGCTGAATGTATTGGTTAACAATGCAGGAATTGCTTTCAAAGGTAAAACGCTGATTAAGCTGCAGGGCCCATGTGCTGTATAGTTCTCTGGAGAATGTGAAGTGGGGTTTCGCAGAGGTCCCTGCTGGAGGCTTCAGCGTGAGTACAGTTCCAGTGAGTAACTCTTGATGCCAAACCCAGGTATAGTTCATTGGTCAGAGCAAGCTCTTCTGACTCTGAGTGACACAGCT